CATAGCATGCATGCATACATACATACATACATACATACATACATACATACATACATACATACATATATACATACATACATACAAACATACATTAATAAATACATATATACATGCATACATGCATGGATACATACATATATATGTATATGCATTTATACCTATGTACATATATCCATATATCCATACATACATATATACATTGTGGCGTTTCCTTTCCAAAATTGTATTTTCACATCTTTTTGTCGGTTTAGCCAACCCTGTATTGGACATTTGATGGTTGCCAGTTGTACAAATAATAGGATGGCTATTGCAGCCACATACCAGCAAATCGACACAAATCATATTTCTATCGCTAAGGTATCCATGCATCGGCGTTCATCACCACTGACATTACACACCAGTATACCAGGGCCCAAAATGGCCTTTTCTTATCAAGCCTCATATTAGATCATGTACTTTGTTATTGTGCTAGTTTGGATTCGAAGTGGACTGGACAATTGACACTGCTGCAGACTACGACACGACTATGGTATTGGTGTTCCTCGAGGGCCGTGACGGTACAACGGTAAGCTTTACTTGTTTGAGTGCGAGTTGTTCTATTTTTAGCTGTCGCATCTGATTTGACATTAAGCTTTGCTGTGTTTGAGTGTGAGCTGTTCTATTTTTAGCTGTATCATCTGGTTTGTGCGGTTGAGCCCCACACACACATGCGGTCACAAGTCACTCACATATCCATACCACTCCCATGTGTTACTGCTGTTTGTATACACATGTGGTCTCACATCCAATTGAGTTTGGTTTGTATGGGTATCTGGGTCATTGCGTGTACCGTTCAATAACCTAGTTGCCATTATGAACCTATAAGTGCTGCTGCGCCGCTGCTTGGTTTGTTCCTAGACCACTTCTCAATCGCACAAATCGTCGGCGCTGTTCTGTTGGGAACTGTCATCGTATTCACACACACATTTAACTTTACCTCACTTGCCTGTCACTGTCACACCCAGAACATTCTCAGCGTTGCCGGCTTGGAGACCAGCAACCCCGTACCAGTACCCGGGAGTGAAGTGTATCTGAGCAAAAACAACGGACTGTCCTTTGAGGACCAAGAGTTCTGGTTCAGTGAGGTCGATAGTTCGGGTCTTGCTAGTAAGACAGCCTGGTTGGATATTGCAAATATCCAGGTCAACCCGTACTTCAAGACCCATGTATGTGTGAGCAAGTAATCGAGGTGCGGATGAGGGTTGGTTTGAGTATAGTATAGCCTTCGTATCACACGAACATGCATGTGCTCTGCTTAGTATACATCTCATATCACACCTGCGCTTCTTCACTCCAAGTAACCGCTCCCATTTGCCATCTGTCTTATTTCCTTTCGCAAACATAAGATGTACTCACTATTCTCACACTCTCTGGCTTTCCTACCCACCTCTCAGGCCATGCTATGGTCTCAGGATCACGCAACGCTCTTCATCACCAAGACAGGCGGAGACACCTGGTCCCGTCGACCCGTTACGCTCGAGTACAGCCCACGCACTGTGGTGCCTCACCCCACAGAGCCGGAGACCTCTCTACTCATCACATCCAATGGAGGACATGTGTACATAACCCAGGACATGGGTGACACCTACTCTGGGCCATATCGCAGTAACGTGCTTTCGGCTCTGTGGGCACCGCAGCTGCGGAGCGATGGGGAACCGGCACAGGACGCAGCGACTACTATCTTCTTTGTAGAGGAGGCGCTAGGTAGGTATTAGAGGTGTAAATGTTGGAGGTAGGCATCTAAGGTGTACGGCTGAGATGACAAGTTGGCGTATTATACGTGTGAGTCACTACCTGCTATCATTATGTGCTATAAGTATCGATTATATCTGCTTTGATTGGAGGAAGCACTAGGTAGGCAGCTGAGCAAAGGATATGTTGGTGTACTATTGATAATTGAGTTTGCTACACATATCTGCTATGTGTTTCAATTCGCTATGTGCGCTGTGAGTACTATCTCTCTAAACTATGGGCAGTGTTTGGCGCAAACAATAGGTGATGTTCTCGAAGATGGCGTTGGTTATATGTAGAGACCCTAGTTTATGTGTACGGTGATTGCGTGCACACGCAATACGTATAGTGTTATATACAGACACACTATTTTACGTGTATGGTGACTAAATGCACAAGCAATACGTATATTGTTATAAATACCGACACACTTTTTTTATGTGCATAATGATTAAATGCACATGAAATACGTATATTGTTATATACAGACACACTAGTTTATTGCTATAGTGACTGCATACACAAGCAATCCGTATATCATAGACTACATTCAAATACTCGTAGATCACAGTAGCTACCACCCCCCATACACTACCTACATATCCACCCCCCAACCATCCCCTACCAAAAACTCACACCTGTGTTATTGTGTCACGTGCTGTATGTTTTGTTCTCTCATCAGAGGAAGGTCTGGCTCTAATCGTCTTCCAGTTGCGTCGTACCACCGACTTGTTTGCCACAACCGATGACCTGTTGCAGCCAGACATTCAGACCTTTAGTATGGTGCCTGAGAACAATATGATGTTTGTGTCGACGTTCAGTCTCTTGGTATGTGGGCTACACTAAACGCATGGGCGATACACGCAGGGGGTATTGTACAACATGTCTATGGGTGTGTGTATTTGTATTGTATGAGTGTGTGTGTTTGTGTTGTATGAGTGTGTGTGTTTGTGTTGTATGAGTGTGTGTGTTTGTGTTGTATGAGTGTGTGTGTTTGTGTTGTATGAGTGTGTGTGTGTGTTTGTGTTGTATGGGTGTGTGTATTTGTATTGTATGGGTGTGTGTATTTTTATTGTATGAATGTGTGTATTTGTATTGTATGAGTGTGTGTGTTTGTACTGTATGAGTGTGTGTTTTTGTGTTGTATGAGTGTGTGTTTGTGTTGTATGAGTGTGTGCATTTGTATTGTATGAGTGTGTATGTTTATATTGTATGAGTGTGTGTGTTTGTGTTGTATGAGTGTGTGTATTTGTATTGTATGAGTGTGTATGTTTGTGTTGTATGAGTGTGTGTATTTGTATTGTATGGGTGTGTGTATTTGTATTTAATGGGTGTGTGTATTTGTATTGTATGAGTGTGTGTATTTGTATTGTATGAGTGTGTGTCTTTCTATTGTATAAGTAAGTGTATTTATATAGCATGAGCGTGCATGTTTGCATTATAAGGATCATAGATATTCCATAAACCACCGCGTGTACTTGTACTGTTTGTTTAGAGATTTATAAAAACATGTCACGCGGGCTGTGTGTGGAGTGTCTGTGCTTAGTCGTACGACAGCACATCTTTGTCTTTATTCGTCGTACGCGTCATTAAAACAGAACGCTAGACCCTAGACAAGTGGCCGTGTACTGTGTGGTTGCAACCTCTTCCGGTTGTACCTCTTTCTGTGCATGTGAACGTGATGGATGACATTCATTGCTGGAATGCAACACCTCACACGTATACGGTTAGATCAAGGCACTCCCATGAAGGGAAAGGAGAAGGCCTGATCCTGTGATCCCTATCTTGAGTGTAGTGTAGACTGTCTTGCCACGGTAGTTTATAGTTACCACAGTGACCTACCCACTACATGGTAACAAGCTACGGGGATGGTTTCTATGTGTCTGTAACCCTTATCTGGCTTCTATCATAGACACTCCTGTCCTGATGAAGTATAGTCACCAAAACGACTTACTCGATAATAAGTATTAGTAATGACGTCTATATGCTCCACAAGACTCTGTGCGTATGTGGCTCACCGAGCTGTTGCGGTGTTGTCATCCGGGATCAGCTGTGGCAGGTGACTCGGATGGATCACACCACACCCCATTGATATAGCACCATACCCCATTGATAATACGCCATTGATATATGGAGCACTATCCTGACTACAAAGGAATGAATCCTGATGAGATACACATGCCAACGGCAACAGTTGGGTATAAGTATACATACACACGTCATCTGTTGTGTATGTGTGTTCACATACCTGTCTGCACCCTTTCTCCACTGTGTTCCATCCACGCATTAACCCCCCATGCCCTTTCCATCGCCTATCTGTACACCGACGTACACTACTGTGCCCATGCGCTACAGACGGGAGCTGTGGCCCTGAAGGCAAGTCTGGACAATGGAGATACGTGGGAGGACGTGGTTATTCCGATACAAGAGGATCATAGAGACTACGGCTATAGTGTCATAGGCCACTTCAACGGTAGCGTGTTCTTGGTTGCGGACAACGACAACCATGAATCCATGCCGGCAGGAGGGCAAGCATCTGTATGTGCACCTGTGTATGTGTATGTATGTGCATGTGTATGTATGTGTGCGTGTGCATGTGTACGTATGTGTGCGTGAGTGTGGGTATGTGTGTACACATGTGCATATGTATGTATGTGTGCGTGTGCATGTGTATGGATGTGCACGTGTATGTAGGTACATGTGTATGTATGTGCATGTGTATGTATGCGTGCGTGTGCATGTGTATGTATGTGTGCGTGTGTATGTATATGTATGTACATATGTGCATGTGTATGTTTGTGTGCGTGTGTGTGGGTATGTGTGTGCACATGTGCATGTGTATGTATGTGGGCGTGTGCATGTGTATGTATGTGTGTGTCTGCATGTGTATGTATGTGCACATGTGCAAGTGTATGTATGTGTGCGTGTATTGGAAAAGACATAAGTGCATGATTGTAGGTGTTTCAGAGTAATATGCCACATATGGTTGTGTGTGCATGTGGGGTTGTATTGTACCTGTGTGTGTATGTGTGTGTGCACGTGTTTTTGCATACCTATATTTGTGCGACGAAGCTTTAGCGAATGAACCTCGGAATCCATCTAAGCAAACATGTCAAGTACAAGCCTTCTAAATTGGGGCGTGTAACACAGTATACGGTTTAGGTAGGTGTGTGCTTGATCTTATCGTTGTCTGTCGATTATAGTAAGAGGACCACTTTTGTCCCGGAGTACTGTAGGACCACTTTTGTCCTGGAGTACGGTAGGACCACTTTTGCCCCGGAGTACTGTAGGACCACTTTTGTCCTGCAGTACGGTAGGACCTCTTTTGTCCTGGAGTACGGTAGGACCACTTTTGTCCTGCAGTACGGTAGGTCCATTTTGGCGGTATCGTACTGTAAGTCATCGCACACTTGTTCTATTTTATTGGGCTGCCTCGCGGTGGCCACTAGTGAGCGTATATCGTACTACATGGTATTCTCTTATCGATCGCGGTATTGTGCTTACCATAGGTGACACGACGTTGTGAAAGGTCCGTACGCCACAGATAGAACCCGGTCCTATTTTTCTCTGCCCTGGTGCAGAGTCCAATTATAAACTATGTGGTATGCACAGGTGCTCGTTGCTAACCTGGCGACCTACTATTCACAGGCGAACGTCTACGGCGCAACAGAGAACAGCCTCAACTTCACGCTTGTACTGGACAAGCTTCTCTACCTCGACAGCAACTCGTATTTCGCAGAGGTGGGTGTAGCATATTGCAATGGCTCTGTTATGCTATCACACATCGCTTTCGAGCAGACGACGTTGGGCGGTTGGGTTGTTTCGGTATGCGTACAGACTTTGGGGAACAGTGCTGCGGTGTTTAAGGTAACACGTGACACAGAGTATGAAGTAATACAGACGTTATGTCCAAGGTTGCATATAGGATATACTTTAGTATTACAGACGTTATGTCCAAGGTTGCATATAAAATATACTCTCTAGTATGACAGGCATTATGTCCAAGGTTGCATGTAAGATATACTCTAGTGTTACAGACTTTATGTCCAAGGTTGCATATAAGATATGCTCTAGTATGACAGACATTATGACCAAGGTTGCATATAGAATATACTCTAGTATTACAGACGTGATGTCTCAGGTTGCATATATAATATACTCTAGTGTTTGGGGTAGAGTGTGAAGTAGTGGCTTTACAGACGCTATGTTCAAGGTTGCATATAGAATATGCTCTAGGCTTTCACGTTAGTTTGCTCGTAAAAGTACCTGCAATGCTAGTGTCATGAATTGTCGGTCGGGAATCCGAAACTCGGCCAAAGGCATTGAGACTAGCGCTCTGATGTACAACCTACGTTTGCAATGTCAAGTGTCATCTGTCAAGTGTCAAATGTCAAGTGTCATATCCTTTGCACACGCAGCCGTTCTATGAGATCAAGTCTTTCTCGCAATGACACGTGTGCATGCATTCATGGGTGTCTGTCTGTCTGCGATAGGTACCGAACCGACCAGGCACGATTGCCGCAGACATCATCGCAGAGGGACCCAACAACACAGTTGGCTTTGAGAGTGTGCTGTCCTTTGACGGGGGAGCCACGTGGAATACTCTGGCCACGTCTGGCAAGTATCCCAACGGAACTGCCTACGACTGTGGGGTAAGTAGTTGCTGGGTCTGGTAGAGGTGTGTATATGGAAGTGGTTGATGCATGTGCGAAAGAATGGGTTATGTATATGGGCAAATATGCGATATATATATATATATATATATTTATATATATTATTGTTTACGAATATGTCATCTACGTTTTGTTCCTTGCGGATGTTGTCGTTTGTATACATCCTAATCGACAGCTGTATATCTTAATTGAAACGTATAAAGAAAAGCTGCGAACTATTACGGTGTACTGACTTTCGTACCCATGCATACACATTTAATTAACCGTCTCGTTCAGGTACAGGCGTGCTCATGTAAACATTGGATACTACCATCAACCAAATGCAACCAACACTCCAATACATACTTAAGCAAATCTATCCACACTAACACCCCACACGTATCTTTTCCGAACGTAGAACTGTACACTATACTCAGGCTACATCCAGGGCACCCCTGACAGTGTACTGGTGACCAAAGCCACATACATGGCACCGTACGAAGGACCGCCAGGGCTGTTCCTGTCCGAAGATGGGGGCAAGAGTTGGGATATGGTATGTCCTTGTTTATGACTTTGCGAATAGATTGGTGAAGCAAGGGTGTACAGTGAGGTGTCCATTCTTTACTAATCTGGGCAATGCGCGGATTTCCTCATCACTGCAGATTCTCGTAGCACCCAGCGCGTTCTACGCCATCAACTCCGATGCCTCCATCATCCTCACAGCCGAGTCCAGCCTACCTACCACCACAGTACAATACACGCTTGACAACGGAAGAACCTGGTTAGACTACGAATTCACAGAGTCCCCTGTGAGCGTTAAAATGATCAAGTTCGTGACCGAGGAGGACCGAACATTCCACGTGTACTCGACCACCGGCAGCAACGTGTACTCGACCACCGGCAGCAACGACACCACTGCAAGCGACGGTGTCAGCCCTAGGGCGGCTTCTACATGGTACGCTACAACTATAATCTTCAACTGAACTAAACTTCAACTGAACTAAACCTCAACTGAACTAAACCTCAACTGAACTAATCTTCAACTGAACTACTCTTCAACTGAACTACTCTTCAACTGAACTAAACTTCAACTGAACTAATCTTCAACTGAACTACTCTTCAACTGAACTACTCTTCAACTGAACTAAAATTCAACTGAACTAAACCGGAATAAGCAATGTATACGCAGACGGAGGGGCCGAATATTAGAGCGGTGTATCAGACCCCTGATTGGGAGGTGCACTAGGCATCTACAATATATGGCACGGAGCAATAGAATCAAATGACATGAGTTTTACTGTATGTGGTGAACAAACTTACATAAATCGAATGACAATAAAATATATACTGATGGACGCACATTCGAGTATCACCAATTATAAATCGATATCTACAACACAATGGTCATCGCGTGTCATCTTGGGTACCACTTCAGTTTAAAGTCAGCCGATTTCTACCAACTTCCATAAACATAAAATGAGCCCCAGTATATTTCACACATGTACTCGCCAGGCTGTGATGATTTCCTGCGACGGTTTGCTTCGGCTAAGACCGATCTCATTCATATGGCACAGCACGCTGCTATACCCTCCTCGAGGTGACACGACTCGTGCTTTAATATTTCTTTAATAATAGGATACAGAAACAAATCTTTAATAGGGGCTTATTTATCACGCCCCCCATTCATCCCCCGGGAAGTAGACTTGGTGGCAGACGAGTAGTCTAGATCAGACTCTCATTTTGCCTAGTACAATAATATTCTCGGTGCGCTTGCACTTCAGTCCATTTTGATTTAATAGTCTATTTATATACTTCTATATTATTTAGAATTTGGCGGATCCGGATATGATAGTCTATTGCGAAACTCTATCCGACGTGATCAATCATCCAGGCATTTGAGATCCGATTTAAATAGGTCTCCAGAGTCAGTGAACTTCATGTGTAAGCAACAATTTGATACAATCTCGATTATTCAGGTCCAGGGTCGGCAAATGATGAACCTACCATTCGCCTCGTACTTCAATAAAACATCTTGCTTCGAAGGGGCCAGCTTCAAAGTTCCGCTACGAAAATCCATTCACGTTCTAGTACATAATCCAACAAAGGGTATTCGTTTATTTTGCCTTTCCATGGAGAATCTCAGACGATTTATTGACAATCCCATAGCGATCTTTGACCTGAATATCATTATACTACGTACTGATAACCACATAATTATTGATGTGTACATATTAATTGGCGACCCCGTTGGTCGTTTTCCCCATCTTAACTTGCGGTGGATGTATTCACAATCCAAAGCTTCACGGAAAATTCAACAATTCATTCGATGAGATTTTTCCTGTGCAACGATCTACCTATATCGCCACTTTGAAATAAGTAATAACTGACATGCCACACACCACCCCCAATTTCAACCCAACGTAAGGCCAGGCAGAGTAATACCGTCCAGTACCGATTTCTCGCTCATCTCCCCGCAGAATATCCTGGGGGTACCGCAGTGAAACACAAGAGTCATACCTTCCCAAAACTCTAAGGGTGAACCCCAGTGATCTGTTACCTCTAACCCGATCACCGCATTTCCATCGTCCTGGATAGTCGCCACAGCAGCACCAAATTTACCCGAGTAATCGGCCACCTGGCACGCATACGGATTTGTGTTGTAGGCTTCTGGGTTACAGTCATAGCTGAATTGTGCATCCGTTGGCGACCGTCCCAGAGCCTCACAGGCCTCTACCTCGTTGCTGGTAGATCCACACGCGAATGTCGGGTCGTAGTGCCCCAAAACACCTGCGTCTGTGTCGCATTCCTCCTTCACACCCTCCCCGTCCACAGGCTTACCTACATGAATGTGCCAATCCAAAAGAATAGTATCTCCTGGTGCTCCATCTCCATCCAGGCATTCGGCATAGGTATCGTCGGACATCACATCTAACAGGCTGAGCGTCATCACAAATTTCACACCGTCAACTGGATCCGATGTTATATCTATAGATCCAGTTGCCAGTGCATTTTCTTTATCTTCGCTAAAATCGATTGTTAATGAATCTACTGTGACCTGTGCGTTCACGAGTGAACTGGCAACGAGGGCGAAACATAAAGGGTACATCAGCATTGTGCAAGACAGTTAGTATATGTTTCCTTGCCGGTACGTGTATCTATCTGAGCGTTGTATTGTACTACAATTGCAATATCAAGTGATTTCTCGTACAATTCTACATGCGCAATTGTTCACAGAAGTTTGAAGTTTCTTTAAAGGGAGCAATGATTGATGATTCGTTACCGTTCACAAGCCCACGTCCAATCAGAAGCGGAAGTAAAAGTATAGAATTAATTACTCCGTAGTTTCATTTTTGGCGCTAAAAAGAAAGATCTCTTTTTTTTTATACAAAAACGTTTACGCCTAATACAATGATAAAGAAGTAAATAAATGATATGTTTATGACAAAACGTATTTGTTCTAAAAAAAGACAATTTAATTAAAAAAGTTTTTATGTTTTTGTATTTTAAAAAACTAAATACAACTCGATATTTTAAAGTTTGAGGATTCACGTCTCACGACCCCACGTCGTCCTGTTTCCCATTCAGACATCTGTCGTTCTGAAAAGAAAGTAGACATCATTTGTTATATAAAATTACGTGGCATAATATGCAAATACAGGTTACTTGGTGTATGCTGTTTGCTACAAAATGCTGCATTCAAGCTATGAATATCCCAGAATCGACTTTCTTTAAATCTTTATATTGCGTGTGATACCATATTAAAGATCATTGACTTTGTGTCGTATGATGCTATTCGGGGAGTGAACGTATTTACTTGATATAAATCCTGTATACGAAACAGCAGAAAAAACACTAACTAAATATACAGCATATCACCCCTGAGAATTTCCGCTTCGTCAAGACATGAGAGATGCGAATATATTTGATCCATAATCACGACTTTATAATGTAGAACAAAAGTAGGTGTGTAACTTTTAACTGTCTGCAATAATGTATATTGTATATCAAACACATATCTTGGGTATACTAGACATTTTCTCCTATAATAGACAATGGGTGGCTTTGACAATCCCACTGATACTCCATAGATCGACCACCGTGGTAACCGCGACTATACAGAGAAACCTTAATATATTTCCTTCAATAGTTTTCAATAGTTTTCGTAAGAAACAATACGCTTAGGAACTAATACTGTCCGCACTGGCGCAAGAATACACCGCGATATTGTGTGAACATGTATGATTCACAAATGCAACAATGATTACTCTTCGACATATATCTAACTACGAATGCTCACAATATGATAAATTGAAACCATAGCTGTGTAAAGAGAACAGCGATACGCTCAAAGTTTTTATTAGTCTCTCGACATTTTGTCTCTCAACGTTTTTATTATACTAATGAGTTTCTTGCATTGTGAAACAGATAAAAGACGTAACTGGATAGCAACACGTGTATAATACTATTTTTTTGGATTAGAGATTGTGTGTATTATAAATACTTCATAACAATAGCGGAGAATCTGATCGCGTCGAATTCTCGATTGCAATGTCTACACACCAACAGCGCAAAGGATCTTCGGACTGTCTCTTTGTATCTGGCCACTTTGTTTTAGGATTCTAGTGGGTGGTCCGAATTCGGCATCTATAGGGAGGTCTGGGGGGGGGGGGCTTTTGAATTAAAATCCATGTCCTGGACCCCGGCTTGAGCTGACCCCTGACCCTATTTGGATAAATAGAAATTCGAGTGGTATTCTCATTTAGTGCAGAGTACTCTAAAACAATTCGTATACCTTTTGTTTGTGTACGGGAATACACTGCGGTGGCCGACTTGTAAATGTTGTACTATAAAATGTGTAAAAATATATATTTTAAAATAAATGACTTGTATAAACAATATTCCCCGCAGGTCTAGCCGGGTTTTTTGGCACACACACTTGTGTATTTTAAATATCAGTTGTAAGTATATTCAAATGTACACTATACGTATACACACAAAGTAATACACCCAACACATATCAAGCACAAAGTAGAACACACACAAACGAAAATAAAATATTGAATCACCACTATAACGGAAGTCGGAGTGTAATCCGTGAGTAACCATAGTGCTCGTCAAGACAATGAAGTAGATACTAGAAATGGCTGACGCGAAACAAAGAATGCGATCGCAGCTGAAGACAACTTACACCTTGCGGACGGTCTCAGACAATAATCCCCTCTTGAAAAGAAACGATACATATTTCTATAGCCTCTCAAATTCAGCAATGTCACATTCATTTACCATAGCCTTCTAAATTATACACATTTACACATAAATACAAACAATTTTTGTCAAGACGACTATGTAGGCTCTTTAAATCAGTTATAGTATATTTGATAATATCTACTACTTGGAT